AGGCGCCACCGGCCGCACTTTTGGGGAGGGCACCTCCCCCGATCCATGGATTGGGCGACCGCGCGCCAAATCCATGGATCGCTAATCCATGTTGGCGCGCCCCCGACTCTCGCAGATGACGCATGGCTCCAACTTCGCCTCTCTCTTCTCGCACTGCCATCTTGCATCGCCCGGCACTGTTTTCGCAGCGCCGGCGTCCGCTGCCACTGCGTGTCCCCTTCTCTCACGGGCTGCCCCCAGCGTCGCTGGTCGTGGCCCACCCGCGCTTCTCGCAGCGCCAGCTGCGGTTGCCACTGCGCGCCCCCTCGCACGGGCTGCTCCCAGCGTTGTGGCTGATCGTGGCCCACCCGCACGTTTGGCTGCCACTGCGCGCCCTCTTTCTCGCACGGACTGCTCACGGCGTTGTAGCTGGTCGTGGCCCGCCCGCGTTCTTCTCGCAGCGCCAGCGTAGGTGCCACTGCGCACCCCCTTTCTCGCACGGACTGCTCCCGGCGGTGTAGCTGATCGTGGCCCACCCGCACGTTTCGCTCAGCCTGGCTCCGGCCTCTCGCACACCAGCCAGAGCCTGCTGCCACTGCTCGCCCTTCTCGCACGCGTTGGCTTCAACGCTGTAGCTGAGGACGCCGGGCTCTAGCTTCATCTCCGTGTCCCGGAGCCTAGCCAGAGCTTGCTGCCATTGCCCGTTCTTCTCACACGCGTTTCTTTGGGCGTTGTAGCTGAAAACGTCGGGCTGTGTCCCTACTCTCTCCCACTCGGTGCTGCGTTTTGTTGCCAACGTGCTGTGCAGCATCACTGGTGCTCGCCAGGAGGAGGAGGAGGAGGAGGAGGAGGAGGAGGAGGAGGAGGAGGAGGAGGAGCAGGAGCAGGAGGAGGAGGAGGAGGAACAGGAGGGGAGAGGGAGGGGGAGGGGGAGGGGGGCAGTAGCGTGTGGGTCACATTGCAACCAGAGCGGCCACTTTACAACCTGATGGGGCACTTTACAACCAGCATGGGTTTTCCCAGAAGGGCATATTACAACCAGGATAGCCACTTTTCAACCAGGCGAATAAACACATAAGCGACGCATGTTTTTCAATTTCCGAAACTTCTGTGGGTCCATGTAAGGGAGACGCTTCGCTCTCTGAAGCGTGTTGGTTGTAGAGTGACACGTCTGAGGCGAGAATCTGTGGAGTGGCGGGTTCCCAATGGTATGCAACAAGAACCCTATGGGAATCCTATTGGCACCCTTCCCACAGGGATCCTGTTGGCACCACATGAATCTTATTGGTATCCAATGCGATTCCTCGATATGGGGCCTACGGGTGTCTTATTGGAATACGACACGGATGTTTCCTATTGAAACCTGCTGGGGCCCTTCCTGATGGAAATCGAGGGACATTCCTGTTGGAACCCTGCGGGAAACGCGCTGGGGGTACCATATGGAAACCCGGTGGGTATTCATAAGAACCGTCTTTCTTGGAATTCCATCAAAACCATATTGGCGAAAACGAAGGATCTCGCATTGAAATCCAATCGGAATCCTTCCTTTTCGATCCATACGGGCATACTACTGGGATTCCACCAGGACCCACCTGTAACTCAACAGAAACCTGTCCTCTATGACTCACATTGTACCTTGATTGGCGTCCTATTGTTATTCTTGTGGTCTCCCAAAGGAGCTATTGGAACCCAATTGAGATCCAATGAAGATCCCCCCGCTACAGGCAGGTGGCAAGCCTGGGCGGTTAACGTGCTTTACATCCATGCCCTAAATCTATATGGCTGTTTGGAGCCTCGTAACCTCTGCCTGAAAAATCATGTTTCTTCTGGAAATAGAGAAATGTAAGCGTTCGCCGAAAAAGACGCAGAACAATACACGCGCTCCCCGGAGACCGGAAAGGTGGCCAAGAAGTCGTTGGTACATTTCTAGCCAACACATGCGGATTTCTTTTTCCGCATCATAGACATTGTTTTGCCCTCGCGCCTCATCGCCTGGCCACGACGCAACCGTATGTTTTCGCATGTGCGGAAGCACGCGTATCCAGGAAGGCGGAACAAGCGGAAATGTGGCCAAGAAATCATTGGTAATTTTCTTGCCGACACATGTGGATGTCAAATTTTTGTTGGTTTGCATCAGCAAACAGGTTTGCCATCGCGCCTTATCGTCTGGCAAGAGCAAAGAACATTATTACCTACCTAGGCTCTGCCTAGAAGGGTTCTTACTCTCTTGGCTTAAAGGGCCGGGCAGTGCTACACGCCCTGGGCGGTTCCCCCGGCATCCGCCCCGCGGTTCCCCTGGTTGCGTCCCCTTAGCTTAGCGTTGCTTATCTCATCTTAGCTTAGCTTATTGCGAAGGCCTTACGGCTGGTGCCGCCGACCCTGAATGGCGACGACGACGACGACGACGAGCGCTCTTGGGGGCCTCTGGGGGGTAGTTTGTGGGCCTCTTGGGAAGCTCTTAGGGGCCGCTTGGAAGCCTCGTGGGGGCCTCCTGGGGCTTCCTGGGGGTCTCTTGGAGGGGGCCTGGGACGTCTTGGAGGCTTCTTGGACGGTCTTGGGGCTATCCTCATTTGGAGTGTTTTCGAGGTTTCTAGGCCGCCCGAGGAAAAACGAATCTGCCCCCCCACACCCCGGGACCCCCCCCCCGGGACCCCCCCCGGGACCCCCCCCGGGTTCCCCCCCCTCTGGGGAAGGGATCAAAGGGAAGGGGCTTCCCTTCGACTCGATTACGACACTGCTAGATTTTTCTCTCGCTCACGAGCTTGAGAAGGAAGCTGCAGGGAAAGAAGACGACGGAGGCGACGACCGACGGAGACGACCACTCGAACAGCCAAGCCCCTCGCACACGCCGACACAGTGTCGGCGGATTTCATATTAGTTTATCTTAGCTTCATCTTAGCTCAGGTTTATCTTAGCTTAGCTTACCTTCATCTTAGCCTCGCCGATATTTAGCATAGCAGAGCACAGCATAGCATAGCATAGCATAGCGTAGCATAGCATAGCGCAGCACAGCACAGCACAGCATAGCACAGCGCATCATAGCATAGCGTAGCATAGCAGAGCATATCATAGCATAGCAGCATAGCATAGCATAGCATAGCGAAGCCTAGCATAGCACAGCACAGCATAGCATAACACAGCTTTGTATATCATAGCATAGCATCGCTTAGCATAGCACAGCGCAGCATGACATAACATAGCTTAGCATACCATGGCATATCATAGAATAGCATAGTACAGCATAGCATAGCATAGCATATAATAGCATAGCACAGCATAGCATGGCATGGAATAGCATAGCATAGCAACTCATGCTGCTTCCCTAGGGGCTCCAACTTCTAGGTAGGGTCGCACTGGGCTAATGTTTCCCTACCTATGCTCTCTTACTCTCTTTCTTAAAGGGGCCGGGCAGTGTAACCCGCCCCGGGCGGTTCCCCCGGCATCCGCCCCGCGGTTCCCCCAGTTGCGCCCCCTGGGTTCACCCAGCTTAGCTTATCTAAGCTAAGCTTAGCTTAGCTGAGCTCATCTTATCTCATCTTAGCTTAGCTTAGCTTAGCTTAGCTTTGCCTAGCCTAGTTTAGCTTTGCTTAGCTTAGCTTAGCTTATCTCATCTTAGCTTAGCTTAGCTTAGCTTAGATTAGCTTGGCTTAGCTTAGCTTGGCTTAGCTTAGCTTAGCCTAGCCTAGCTTAGCTTAAATTAGCTTAGCTTAGCTTATCTCATCTTAGCTGAGCTTAGTTTAGCTTAGCTTTGCCTAGCCTGGCTGAGCTTATCTTAGCTTAGATTAGCTTAGCTTATACCATCTTAGATTAGCTGAGCTTAGTTTATCTTAGTTTGGCTTAGCTTAGCTGGGCTTAGCTTAGCTTAGCTTAGCTTAGCCTAGGCTAGCTTAGCGTAGCTTAGCTTAGCTTAGCATTGCTAAGCTTACCTTAGCTTAGCTTAGCGCCGCGCAGCATAGCGCAGCGCAGCATTAGCACAGCATAGCATAGGATAGCATAGCCAAGCATAGCATAGCATAGCATAGTTCAGCATAGCATAGCATAGCATAGCATAGCATAGCATAGCATAGCATAACAAAACATAACAGAGCATAGCACAGCGTAACATAGCATAGCGCAGCATAGCATAGCATAGCATTGCTTAGCATAGCACAGCGCAGCAAATCATAGCACAGCACAGCATAGCATAGCATAGCGCAGCATAGCATAGCATAGCATATCATAGCATAGCGCAGCATAGCATCTCATAGCATAGCCCAGCATAGCATAGCATAGCATAGCGCAGCATAGCATAGCATAGCATATCATAGTACAGCATAGCATAGCATAGCATTGCATAGCGCAGCATAGCATAGCATAGCATAGCACAGCGCAGCCGAGCGTACCCTAGCATAGCATAGCATATCATATCATATCATAGCGCAGCATTGCGCAGCATAGCAAAGCATAGCATAGCACATCATAGCGCAGCATAGCATAGCATAGCATAGCATAGCATAGCATAACAGCAAATCAAAGGCAAAGCAAAGGCAAAGCAACAGCAGCAACAGCAAAGCAAAGCTTAAGCAACGCAAAGTCGGACCTGCAGTGCTGAACAGTCTGCAGCTCTTGTAGATGTAGATGTAGATGTAGATGCAGGTGTAGATGTATATGTAGCTGTCGGTGTAGGTGCAGATGTTGCTTTCCTAAATGCTCCAACTCATAGGTAGGGTCGCACTGGGATAATTATTATAATTGCGGAAACTTGTGTGTTGTGTGTTGTGTGTTGTGGTTGCGTCTGTGTGTGCGCGCGCCCCCCTTGCCCCTGTCTTGCTGGCCCGTTGTCGTCCTCATTCTGGCCGGTGTTGTGCCAGTGCTACATAGCCAGCGCTCGGGCGGTGACTCTGAAACGGTTTGCGGTTCGGCATGGCCTGCGACGGTTCACAACATGTGCGCGTGTGATGTGCTGTATGGTGGTGGGCGCCTCGGTATCCACAGCTACTTTGCCGCGTCGCCGCGCGCGAGGCCGTTCTCTCCAAAGGTGTGTGTGTGTGTGTGTGTGTGTGTCTCTGTAGCCAGTTTGGCTCAGGCCACCTTGGCGCTCGAGCGCCGGCGCGGCGCGCGAGGGGCCTGCCCGCGGCGGGCCCCGCCGCCCGCGTGTTTTTCGGGGCCCTGGCCGGAGAGGCCACATGGCAGAGGGCGCCGCAGTCCTCGACGGCACCTTCGGGCACGAGGCCAGCGGCGCAGCGGCGCAGGAGCCCGAGCCGGGCCTCTTCGAGCTCTTCCTGCTCGCGCCCCTCCCGCTGCAGCCCGCGCCCAGCGCCTCCGGCACCGCCCCGTTCGCGGCCGTGGACCCCGCCGCCGCCCAGGAGCCGCTCGGCGTCGGGGCGCTGGCGGCCGCGCCGTCGCGGCTGCTGCGCTTCGCGCTGCCGAGGCGGGTGGAGCTGAGCGAGGCGAATTCGGACAGGCCGTGCACCGCGTCCTTTGCGCTCACAGACGCGCGGGGGGACCACGCCTACGGCTGCGCCATGACTGTGGTGCACGAGGACGAGGACTGGGGAATAACAATTGGAACACACACACACACAGCACGCACGCACGCACGCACGCACGCACGCACGCGCGCACGCACGCACGCACCGCACACACACACACCCGCACACCCGCACACCCGCACACCCGCACACCCGCACACCCGCACACCCGCATTCCCGCACACCCGCACACACACACGCACACACGCACACACGCATACCCGCACACCCACACACCCACACACCCACACACCCACACACGCACACACCCGCACACATGCACACACGCACACACGCACACACGCACACAAACACACGCACGCACACGCACGCACACGCACGCACACGCACGCAACCGCACACACGCACGCCTGGGGAACAACAGCTGGTACGCACACACACACACGCACAAATCACGCACGCACGCACGCACGCACGCGCACGCACGCGCACGCGCGCACGCACGCAACCGCACGCACCGCACGCACACACACACACACACCCGCACACCCGCACACCC